TTTTACAGATGAAGAAATCACGAGTGGGGTCAGGACATCCGGACACCCCCCCCCCCTCTAAATCCGCCCTTCTTCGTACCTTTCCTCCCTCCTCCTCAAGAGCTTCACTCCAATTCGGCATTTCAGAAAATTGTAAACGTCAATTTTTTTAAAGTGTCTTTATTAAGGGGTATCGAAGCCAAGTGGGCTAGCGCCCACCTGATCGGAGTACGTGGAGAGGAAGCTCGCGCTGGAGAAGGAAAACCCAGTGATTCTGAGCTCAATCCCCAGCCCTGCCCGAAGAACACACTTCCAATGAAGTGAGTTCGGGGAGCACACTACGCTCGCTCCGATAGACCAAGTGTGTAATCTCGATAGCAGTGTTCAATGAGTTAAAATAACAGAAGAAATTAACGCTGCGTAAAATTAGTATTATTTTGATAAGACTAATGTTAGATGCGCATTTGTTTTCTGTTGGCAGGAAAGTAGTGCATTGTAGAAAAACAAGCGGCTAATCTAGTTTTCAGCCTTGGCCCCTGCGCGATGGCCGACGAAGGCCAGAAGGCACCTGCACGACTCCACCAGGAATCTGAAGGTGGCAGGAGAGACGCGAAAGGCTTTCTTGAAGTAGAACTCGCCCAAATGGGGCAATGTGTCTTCGAACCACCGTTCGTTCCTCTGGAAAGTCCACCGTTTTCGACTGATCACGGGTAGGTTGTCGGTCATGAGAGTTGCTATGGTGAAGGCATTGGCCTGCAGCTGCTGATTGATGTCACTTGAAATTCTTGCCTGTGCGTCGGCATCCAGGTCCAGCTGCCTCTTATCTGAAAGGCGTTGGGCTCTCACAGAGAAAAGTGCCCCAAACATGCGCTTCCACTGTCCAACATCGCGGATATTGCCCTCCGGCTCGTCCTCCACACACTCCATGTTTCGTTGTGGCGAGTGGCGAGTGGCCGAGTGGGCTCGCGCACACCAGCTCGGAGCACGTGGAGCGAAGGCTCGCGCTGCAGAACCCAGGAATCCTGGGTTCAATCTCTACTTCTGCTCGTTTCGATCTGTACTCCGTTTCACCTTATGTTGTACCGCAGACAAGGCTAGATGCGCGAGCTCATAGCGTTGGGAGCTATTCTTAACGCACGAGAGCTTGTGCCGCCTTGATATGCCCTAGAGCAAAGAGCTCGCGCTTGTAGCCTTGTCTGCGGTACATCATAAGGTGAAACAGAGTATCGTACCGGCGTGCGGACGTGTATCACTGGCTTGTAATGGCTGATCGTAATGATGAAATTGGATTTAAATTTGGATTAAAACTCGTGAATTTAGCGCAACAATGTGTGGTAACGTGTTTCTAATAAGACGACGAAGTTATTTATGAAAAAATGCGTATGCACTGTAATATGTTGCGTGCCCATTACTTACCCATCGTTATTGCCATCATTTTGGAATGACACTAAGTTTTCCCGTGTAGCACCAACACACTTGGAGTGTGTTTCGACGGGTTGAAGTGCACTCGCTTGTAGTGACACTAAACTAGCCCGTCTGACAGGGGTATAAGACGTATAGGACAAGTATGAGCAAATGGCGGTGTGCTGTGTGCCAAGATCATAAGTTGTTGAGGCGGCTTGCTTCCGCCCTCCCAGACGGATTTCGCCGGAGCGTATGCGGACGAGAATGCTGGAAATGAACGACGTACAATTAATGGGGACAGGCGGGACATTGGGTCCCGCGTGGCTGCAGTATCCAGCCCGTCTTCCAGTGGGCCCAGTGCCAGGGGAACGCCGACCAGGTTTCCCCAGAGGAAAAATGGAGACTCTCTCGCCGGGTGGGGCAAGTTTTCCGTTTTTTTGCCCCATTCCCCAAAGGTCCGTCCGCGTCATATCCCACACCGGTTGGTGAGAGTTGCGAAATTGGCGAAGGAAAGAAAGCATACTTTTGGTTCTTAATTTCTAGGGTAGGTGGCGCAAGCTACTGCTCACTATCAAGGGTATAGCCGTCAACGTCCATCCGTCCGTACGTACCACGCTTCATGGCGTGACCGCCTTAATCCAATGGAAAAGATTGTTGTAGTTGGTTTTGGAACTTGGAATACATTTTAGTGCTCAAAACACAAGGACGAGAATCAGCGCACTGTGGTGTCTGATTCTCGTGTTTGTGTTTTGAGCGCTATTCCAAGTTTTATCCGATTCAGAAGACGGACCGAATCGCAATTTCCGCAGACCACGGGAACGTCGCCGATTCCTGCGATCCGCGCCTCGCCCGCGGACTGATCAAGTCGAGCACCTTTTCACTCGCGGATTTTGGGAGGGAGGTTGACGCGTAAGCCGTTCAGTCTGGCAATCTGTACAATGTTTTCATGTTCTCTTTTCGGGCGATTACGATAGAAATGACGCATCGTTGTGTTTTGTGCGTTCGCTCGTTCATTTTGTCAGCCGATTCGACGCGTGGAAGAAAGTGCAGAACCTTTGTCCGACCGACGCGACGCAGGTTCCGGTATTGCCCCGCATCCATGAGAAGAAGCTTCCGTCCAAACTCATCCAGCACGCCGCGATAATTCTTGCACGTCCGATCGGCGTTTCAGCGAGCAAGACCTTTATTGCGGCTGCGTTGTACTTGAGCGTTGTGCACGAGCATGGAATGCGTCGAGGCATCTCCCAACGTCCGTCCGCGAGCCCAGAATTTGGTCGTTCCTACGCCGAAGCCTTTTCGAGCAGGACCATGCCTCGAATTAGTAAAGCTAGTGACGCACGAAGCCTATCAGGGTGTTCATCAGCTCGTATGAAACGCGAACACTGACGGAACCTGGAGCCCACTAGCGGCGCAGCTTCCAAGCTTGGTGTTGTGCTTGGCGAGGCCAGAACACGTTGGAGTAGGACGCACAACCTCGGAGCGCCCCACTCCGATGTGTTCGAACCTCGCTGAGTACAGGCCAAGCTTGGGTTGTGCTTTTGCTCAAAGGTGTGTCACTGTCATTCCATTCGAAACAGCGGCGTAGGATTCGCTGTAGCAAGCGTGGATTTCTCTCTTGGACAACGGTATGATGTTTGGCGGCACTGTGGGGCGGCGAACGGGTCCGTCGTCGTGTGCACGCGCCTGGGAGACGGTCCATCCATTTGGGACGGATGAAGGCGGTGTTGCTGCCGACTCGTTTAATTGCCAGATACGGGCAATGCTTTGTCCTTACCAATGCTGCGAGCGTACGGGACCAAGGATACAGCATCCGAATGCGAACCAATCATGCACAGGAACCGCTGTTTGATTCACCGCCTGGTAGCGCCGGATGCGTCTGGGCCACGCCACCGGCCGCTTTTTTCCGAGACGAAAAGCGGACTTTTCCTTTCGTTCTGGGAAAACATGACGACGTGGTCACTACCCCCGAGCACGATAGGCATAGACTGGACACTGCTTGCTGATGCGAGCACATCTGTCCAATCGCTGCAAATCTCAGCACGTGCTTTGTCAACCGCAGGCTACGTTGAACACCACTCGTTCTGCCTGCGACTGCTGTTTTCTGGGCAGAAAATCGGTGTTCTCTGGATCGCCAATGATGAATTTAAAGGGCAACTCCGGTCGAAAACGAAACCAGAACTAATGACTGCTATCGCTTTCGTGGCACGAACTATGATCAGAGCCGAAATGTAACTTCAAAGTAAAGCCGCGTACTCCACTGAGAACGATTTTAAATATGCGCCCGGCTACTCTTCAGCGGGCGGCAAGCGGGTTAGCCTCACTGGCGCAGCACCCCCGTGACGTCACGTCTCGGCCGTACGGCTGATGATCAGTGCTGCCCTCGCTGTAGCAGATTCCGGCGGTTTTTCCGTAGACGCCCGAAACCAAACTTTCAACCGTGATATTTATAAAACTAGGCACAATCGCGAGAAAAAAATGTATGCCTCGTAATTCGGGGACACTGCCTTAGCTGAAAACAGTCGTAATCCCAAATTCAAAAGTACAGACACCGGAGTTCCCCCAAGGTAGGAACGACTAGAGCACTATATAGCTCCTACGGAGCAGAGTAGCGCAATCCTTTGAACTCCGTGTTTTGCCGACAACATGGCCGACAGAGCGGCTCGGCGCGAGTCACGTGGTACTCAGGGTTCCAGGAGGCGGCCCGCCCTATGGGAGAATACATGGAGATCGATACAACACGGCTGATTAAAAAATGAACGGCGAGTTCACACTTTTCAAAACTAGCCTGTCGTGAAGTTAGTAAAGCGCTAAACACTTTATCAAAGTTTTAATAATATCGGATGCATGTGCAAATTTTGAGAAGGCAATTTCCAAGGCAATGGCGTTTGAAGCAGACGATTTTTGCTCGCAGCGGAGATGGGCTTTTCGGGTTGGCCAGAGCGGGTCACGTGAATGGTGTGACGTCGCCGTGTCGTCTGCTGCATGATGCCGCTCAAGCAATTTTTAAAAAAAAGTCAGGTCCTTTCGGGGCACAAAACTTAGCGCAAATTATTCTAAAATGTTCCATTATTATGTCAAAAACGATTGCCATTCCGTACATTCCCACATTACTGAAGAAACAACGATTTTCTCACGTTCTCCATGCATTTCTGACCGCAGTTGGAACCTCCGGGCGTTCGCCGCTAGTCGCCGAGAGGCGGCGTTCTAGATTGCGCTACTCTGCTCCGAAGGAGCTATATAGTGCTCTAGGAACGACCAAAAAAACAAACATCGTAAAAAAAGAAATCTGCGCAACAGAATGTTTGCATCTTTTCAGTTGGCGACGACGGCAACCCGAGATGAAAGCGACTGGTTCGCGAACAGCGCGCGAACGATGTACCGACGGCGATGAGCTGCGTCATGCGCGGACGCCGGGAAACTCGATCGAGGTCGGAGCTCGGTCGAGGCCTCGAACGAAGCGCCGGAAACAGCGACGCAGACGAGAGAAAGCCGGAAGGGCCCTCGGGCGGGACGCGCGAAACTGGGCCGCTGCCGCGGGCGAGACCGGCCCTGAAACGAAAGGGCCGGCCGAAACAAGTTCACGGCCCGCCAACTGGGTCGGGCCCGGCGGGGCTCACCAGGCTCCACATGTGCTCGGTCTTCAGGTCGTCCCTGAAGTTGTCCAGCAGGCGCTCGTTGCGCAGCCCCTTGCGCCGGGCGTCGCGCTGGAGCTCGAAGAACTTGAGCCAGAGCCGGGCCGTCACCTCGGGCTTGCGGCCCGGCCGAGGCAGCGCCGGCGGCGCGCCCAGCAGCACCGCCTTGCCGTCCAGGCGAAGCGCGGGCGGCTTTTTGGTCCTCCGACGCCGTCTCCGGCGACTGGCGCTGCTCGCCCACGTGTTGTCCGAGGCCAGCGAAGGCGCACGCAGTCGGGTGCGCGCGTACAGGCGCCGGGCGCAGCGCTTCAGAGAGTCCATGAGCAGGGGTGTGGGCAGCCTCCGGGCCCGGGCCTTGAACTGCGAGCACTGCGACCGCAGCTGCTCGGGCTTCGGAGGGGCCCTGCGTTGCCATTGCTGACGCGGCTGCGGCTCCTGCGGCTGCCGCCGTTGCTGCTGCTGCTGCTGGGCGCGCAGGGCGTCCCAGGGACTCGCGCGACGGGGCGGACCCGGGGATGGGTTGGGCGGGCCTCTTGCCGACGAAGGGACACTCCACTGGGACAGGTCCGAGTCCGGGCGTTGGCAGCGGGCGTACGAGGGCAGGGCGTCGTCGCACCCGGTCCCCAGCCCGTGGCGCACCGTGTCCCGTCGGCGCCGAAAGAGCCTCAGCAGCTGCACCAGGCCCGGCACGGACGGCACCGCGTCCCGTCGAGACAGGTTGCCCGTGCAGGCGAACAGCGGACTCATGGCCGCGTCGCCCGGCGAGCGGACCGCTTCTGCCGGTTCTTGGCGCGGCGCCGAGGGGGCGCCCCGCGCTCCGAGGAAGTGGCCGGTCCGCTGACCCGTGGACGACGCCGGCAGGCCAGCCGTGACGGCATTCCTGCGACGACCGCGGCTCCCGCCCCCCGCTCGGACATTCGGGCTCCCCTCCACAACCGAGGATACCGTCCAAGAGGGACGCCGATATCTCCAAACCCTTTTCTCTTTCTTTTTCGTTAGAGCGGTCACGAAAAGAAAATCTACCTGCCCAATCTTGTGATATTCAATAAACCGCGAAGATTCTTAGAAACCGCGTTTGAAATGCGTGTTTCTTGGCCTGAAATGCGACAACCTTCGCCAGCATGAGCGACAAAACGTGACGGCAGTAGCTGGGGAAAGAGACGGAAACCTTATGGAATCTTCAAACGATTAAAATAATTAAAAAAAAAAAAAAAAGGTGCACGATTGCGATAATGTTTCGGTTGCAAACATCTCGGGGTGCTGCTCGTCGCCCGTCGGCGTTCAGCAACTAGCCCAACTACGAGTTCTTCCACAGATGTGGTTGTGGAACACGATTGTGCCTCAGATTCCCAATAAGACAAAGTGAAGCAATCAAATGGATGACTCCCAGAGCATTGGAACCCAGAAATTTGCCAAGTCCGTACGGTTACCGGTACAACGGGTTTGGGAGGTTTACGGACGGATTTGCACGATTTGCGCCGATGTAGTTGTAAGACATTCTGTTTGTTCCTTTATATCATGTTTTTTGCAGCAGGTACCCCCAGGTTGTGTAATGCCCGTAAGGGCCTTCGAGGTTTAATACATGATCTTCCTGGGCACCAACTTGACACGCTGCAGTGCTCAAGTACGCAGAGGCGACTACTTTCCTTCTCGGCGGAACAGCATTTTTCTGGTCGATGCGAGGACGCCTTGGCGGCTCGTCGTTTCTCTCACGTGTGGTGCTGGCCCCCGCGTCCCGCGATCCACCGCTCCGCGCTTGCCGCCTATCGCTGGGAGCAGGCGACGCTCCACTCGGGAGAATTCCAAGCTCTTTTCGGGCGCTTTCGGCGAATTCTTTGAAACGGGCTGAGGTCGACGAGAACGCGCAGTGCACTTTCGTGAGGGGCCACGTTTCTCCCTGGAAGGCTGAAACGGCGGGATACAAACCGAAAGTATATACAGTGCACAGTTGTTCAGACCGTTTGACGATTTCCTCTTCCAAGTCTGTCTCAAAAAGAGAGATCATCCTCGGTGTGCCGAGCACCGCCATGTTTTCCGAGGGAGGAGAAAAAGCCAGGAGGCGACATCACTCCGGGCTCCGATCTTCGGTATTTCAAAAAGAAGGGCCGTAGTGCGTTCGCAACTGCGTTGAAAAACACGCATTACGAATGCCCTTATTAAGTCTTCTAGAAAAGTCGCCTGCAAGTGCTGCTACATTTCATAATACCTGACGTCTCACATCAAAATAACCGACGAGCTGAGGAGCGGGAGAGAAGAACACCAAAAATAAAGAGGCCCATGCGTAAAAATTTTTTTTAGATGCGGAGCATCTCTTGCTCGGGTCTATGTCCAGCGGCGTCGTAGTCCGCACTCACACTACGCATGCGAAACTCTCCTCCTTCCCTCTCTCCAACAGCTGCGCGTTACTCTCTCCGCTCTCTCTCTCTCTCTACGAGCTGCGTGCACTTCGCGTGCGTTCGCTTCTACTCACACCGCGCGCGCATGCGCAACTCTCCTCCTCTAGTGTCCTCTCCTTCAAGTGTGAATATAAGCAGCGGTAGCGCGCTGCGGCGTTCAGTTCGCCCGCTGTTGACTCCACTTCACTCCGTTGTTCCGATGAAGTGTGATGGAAGCAACAGTCCCGTCAGTTAGTGGGTTGGCGCAAGCAAGCGTGTTGCGTTGGTTACCATACATCGCGTGAACGTTGTTGGAAACTCCGCGATGCTCCGCACCACCCCATGGTTCCCCTCGGGAAGATGGTGTATTTTTTTTTTTTTTTTTTTGCGTGCCTGATTACAATTTGTATCGTTTTCGACAACAAAAACAAACAAGACCTTCGCGGTGTCAGTGCCTCTTTCAGTGGTAATTCAATTACAGCGATTGAATCACCGTAATTTAATTACTTTTTGGCAGATTGTGATCGTAATTACTTTCGGTTAAAAGAAATTGTAATTTAATTACTTCCTAGCGTCAGCAGTTGCAAAATTTCAGGCCCAATTCCTTTTGCAAGACCGCGGTGCCGACAGAAGCTCCCAGAAAGCCTCAGTGCTCGCACAAGCGGCCTCGTACTCGCTGACCCAATCACACACTCGAGCACACGCAGAACAAACGTAGCGTCGCATCATTTGCTGTTTTGTTGCTTACACTGCGAACTGAGAGGCTCTTTGGAGCTACACCTTAACGGCGCCGTGTGGCGCCGTCTGCGGTGCGAGCAGAAAACAATAGCCTAAACATACGCCAAAATACTGAAAGGAAAAAAGAAGCGTCGCGTCTATATAGATTTTTGTTTGTTTCTTTGCCAGTTTGTTTCCGTCCCTCTTCCAGTACTGTCGCATATTTGTTTCTTCCGATTATTTTCGAGTTTAGTTCCCGCCGGTTTTCCATCGGAGGTTCTTTGCAGAAGCGTTCTGGAGACTGAGCTCGTACCTGCGAACATTGTCACCATTACTTCGGGAGATTCAATTCTTAGATATTTCTGAGCCATTATAATTTCGACGCAACGAAGACAATTCGCAATTAACCCGATGTTTGTTGGTCGTATTAGCGAGTGTGGATTGTAGTTTTATATTTACACGATTTAAATATTCCCGTATGACTAATTGTCAGACATTTGTATTTGCCTGCAGCCAACTAAAGTGTGTCAACCTCATTTTTTCTGTAGCGATCTGGCGTCTTCGGGTATAGGAACTAATGTATTATAATATAACGAAAAGAGAAGAACGTAGGACTCCACTGCCCCAAGCTGTCAAGTTACATCAGTAATTTAACAAAATTCATAAAAGGAAAGTACAATACCTGACATGTATGCAGCGATGCTTAAAGGGGGGCCCTGCAATCCTATTTAAGCGTCTACCTTTTTGCGGTTTCCACGTCTCTTGGGGTTCGGGCAAGCCTGCGGGTGCGGAGAGAGTAACTAAATATCAGCGCGTCATATTTTAACCGGACGACGCGGAAACCTCCTCCACCGACGGGGGCGACCCGCGGTGCCGAAAGCGCGCGATATGTGACGTCTTTGGTCCTGGCCTTACTACTGGTCAGAGCCGCTAAAAGCCGTCCCGCTGGCAAAGCTCGGCGTCTCGGCTAAAAAAACTCCAAAGATCGTCGCTTTTTTTTTTTTTTTTTTCAGTTGGTGGATCGACGTGCCAGGAGTTGGGGTGAGTCCTCGTTCAAATTTATGCTTCTGGTTTCGATGGAATGCTTATGATCCCAGTTTGGACACGAGTTGCGTGTGTTCGAGGAATTCAGCGAGAAGAAAAGGTTCCACCCTGCGAGCCGCCGGCCAGGTAGGCCTATCTCTGGCTACTCGCGACTCCAGCACGTTGCTCGCCCTCTCGCAGCGGAAAAGGGAAGCGCTGCAGTGAGGGTTTCCCGGTCTCAGCGAGCACGGCGAAAATGCGCTCGACCAGGACTGGAGAACGGTGATTTCTCAATGCAAACAACACTTAATCGAAAGTAGTACTACAGAAGCTATGGGATTTGTGCTATAGAAACAAACGCAAGCGCTATGCGTTGCGTGCTCCGCACTGATCCTGTGGGTCTTCGCCATGTGCCAAGACCGCGATTTCGGGCTCTGCGCACGCGCAGTGAATAGGGTGGCCACCTTCTTGCTAGCGAATATGCGGGACACGCGGGGCAAGGGGGGGGGGGGGGGGGGGTAGGGGAAATTTATGAACACGCACAGCACGAACCCAGGCTCTGTTAACACATTTAATATCCTGCGCTGTTTATACACCTGCAAATTGTATTGCAGCAATTAAGCTGAAATAGTTTGCACTCCCAGCGATATATTTTTTTTATGCCAAATATGTTATTAAATGTGTCCAAGTTGAAAGTATAAAAATAAACTGCAGCAGCACTCAATGCATCAAAATTAAGGAACAATAAATCTTTTTCGGGTTACTGCATGTTTTCTGTCAACGCTTCCTTTTATCAACATGGTCCTTCACAAATTTTTAACATTATGTTCTTTCTCTTTTTACCTCGTATGGCTGTCTTAAAAAAAATCCACGGCGACACTTTCGCGTTAATACAGCGATATGAAAATAATGACAATAAACGAGCAATTTTCTCTTACAATATTCTGCTACTAAGGGGAGAGGCACAACGGAGCATGCGCGTCGGGTCTCCTGCAAGAACGACGGTCGGTTCCCGCGAGGCTTAGCTAGAAAATGGCGTACCATTGCGATTCACGCGGTTACCAGCGACCTCCGCGCTTCCCCGTGTCCCGCTGTTGGGCAGCACCGTGAGTTGCAGAGTGAAGTTTACGACAGCATGAAATGCGGGACATTTTGAAGATTTGGGACTTTCTCGCGGGACACGAGCCTTCAATGCGGGACAGTCCTGCGAGTCGCGGGACGGGTGAAGCAGTGAAGAACACGCAACGCTAACGCGAACACACAGTGCTTACTTTCGCTCGTACACGCATACGAAAACTCATCTATCTTATTATTATTAATGCAAATTTCGGCCATGTAAGCCCCCAATAAACACCCCAAAAATACGCCATTTAACCACAATTGTCTTTACAAAAGGTATCATTTTGTTTTTAGCGTATGAAAAACATCGTTATAAAGACAGACCCTGGATGTAATATAATGTCTTATGCGTCTGACCCCAATAGCTTTGACTTTTTGTGGTAGGGTTCATCATTTATAGCTTTTGGGAACATCTTCTAAACTCATGACCCGTAGCGATTTTTTGTAAACTTTGGATAATATCTGTTATTCTTGCGCTGAGAGTAATGCTAAAGCAAATAATTATCTAAATAAAAAAAATAAAAAACACTAAAGGACCCTTAGTTTGTTATTTCACATGACAGATATCTCGAGTGAGCAAAAGCAGCATGGAGACAAAAATCACAGCGCTCATTTGTTTTCCACAAATAAAATAGTACATGTTCCCTCTCAGGTGTATGAAAGGCCCTGCCTTTAAAGGGGCCCTGCAATCATATTTCAGCGTCTACCTTTTTTTGCGCTGTCCGCGTCTCTTGGGGTTCGGGCAAGCCAGCGGGCACGGAGTGAGACGACGCGGAAACCTCCTCCACCGACGGGGGCGACCCGCGGTGCCAAAAGCTCGCGACATGTCAAGTCTTTAGTCCTGGTCTTACTACTAGTCAGAGCCGCTAAAAGCTTCTTTTTAGTCGGAATACAAAATATAAGTGGCGCGAACCGTTTCAATTATCTATAAAAGTAGTTTTTGTTCACTAGTTTAGATCAGAAAAGGAACAAATGTAGTTTAGAAAGTACGGAAACGAGAAATGACCCGTCGACATACCCGCCACCAAGCGCTGGAAAAGGCGGCGCATACTATACTCGTTTTCACCTGAAGAAAAAAGGACGTTTTGCGCATTGTTCCTACGCCGCGGGAAGTAGTTCTTACAAGATTTGGTTGTCGGAGGAAGAAGCGATCCCTTTGGCGTTTGAAACGTATACGTCTTGATTAGATAACATATATCTAATCTAAAATGCGCCTACATATATATTAATTCTCCTCGTAAAAGGGAAAATTAGTAATGCTCCGCGAGGAGCCGGACTTTTTTTACTTCGGTTCTTGAGGTGAAAACGGGTATAGAAAGGAGTAGTGGGATCAGGCACCGACGAGCGGCGAGCGTAGAAAGGTCCCGGATGTACGCGGCGGTGCTGCGGTCGTATACGGGCTCGAGGATCCGACCGGTTCCGAGCGTTCCGAAGGCCTTCGGCGAGGTTCGGGTTGCGGTTTGGCGTTTGGCGGTATGGAAGCGCGAAGTGGCTCCTGTTCTGAACTGATCTTCACCCCGTGTTTGCTGTAGTCTGTGGCCAATGAAGTGACACGCCGAATTGGTCTTTTTATCGCGCAGCAAATGCAACGCGAGCCGCCCTGGCTGCCCGCTTCATACATGCTTTAGTGGCGCCCACTCAAG